AGGCATTGCCATCCCCTTTGGGTTGTGATTTCTCTCTTTCTCCCTCCTTCCCTCTTTCCTTCGTTCCTCGTTCCTCCCTCTCTATCAAGCAAATATGCCCTGTACCAAAAATTTTAAAAAACACAAAACACAATGCTGGACCGGCTTGGAGGCATGGTCAATAGCAGAAATAACTGTAATCTTAGAAGCCATATGGCTGATCATGACTTTGGATCCTCAGGTCAGTCTAAAAATAAGTCTGAGTATATGTGTACATACCTAAGATCATAAGCTGGAGAGCTAGGGAAACACAGAGTGATGAAACCCTGTGTGTGATTCTCTCTTTCTCAATCTGTGTGGACATGCATGCTCTATCATGAATAAAATAAACAAACAAACAAAAAAAAAGTGATACAAATATTAAGTTTGAGAAAGTTCTTGCCCACTAGTGCTTTTTTTCTTTATTTTTATAGATTTTTACAATAGGGCACATACGCTCACTGGAGAGAGACAGAGAGAGGGAAAGTGAGAAATCACTGCCCGGGGGGATGACCACCAGCCCTCCTCCTCCATTCTCCTCTTGGGATTTTGGACATGCACACACAAATATGCCCAGTGCAATTTTCGACATGACAGGTCCAGGAACCAAACCATAGTTAGCCATGTGGGAGTCTAGTGCCTTAACCACCATACCACCTGCTGGCCCCAGTGTTTCACTTCTTGGCAGAGTTATAATTTAACAACCCTGAGGCTAAATTGGTGGAGACAGAGGGGCTAACCAAGAGTCAGCACAAACCACTAGACATGAGAGTGAAGTCACCTGAAACTGATCAGACTCTCTCAAAGCTCCACATGACTAAAGTCTCACTTGCCATCTAGGCAATTAGAATAGAAACTGCCCAGCTAAACTCAAACCAAAATGTAGATCCAAGGACCCTTAGGCAAATAAATTGGTTGTTTTTTAGGACAGTTGGTTCCTTACACAGAAAATGCTAAGCAATATATTTAAGCCCCCAGCAATGTTTTTAACAGTATCACATGAGGCAGAAAGTCTTAAATACATGTCAGATACAATCAACAGAACTTCACAGCCATGTGTAGGACTTTTGAAAATCAAAATGAATGTCACTCAAGATGACATTATGACCTCAGGGAGGTTGCTGGTGCTATTAGAATACACATAAAACCTACAGAGCAATTATGTGTTCATTAGTAAGTAAAGTTTTAAGTTTTTACATCCTAAAAGTCTCTGTATTAAAAGAGAAAAAAATAGAGGGCCAGCAGATAGAATACCAGTTAGGTGGCTGGACTCCCACATGACTGACCACAGTTTGAGTCCCAGACCTGGAGTCTTAAAAATCACATTGGGCATCTGTGCATGCGTATCCAAGATCCTAGGAAGCAAATGGGGAGAAGGGAGTGCAGTGTGGCCATCCCCACTAGGGAGTGATTTCTCACTTTCCTTCTCACTGTCTCTGTTTCTCTCTCTGGCATGTGCACATGCACTACAGCAAAATATCCTACAGACAAAAAAAAATTTAATAAACAAAACATAAAGATTTATTATTTATACAAGAGTACTGCATTACATTTCATTTACATTTTAAAAATCAGTTTGAAGCAAAATATCACACAGTCTAATTTTCCTCTTACATAATACAAAATAGGCTCTTAAGAGCCAGTAGGGGACACGGTGGTTAAGGTACTGGATCCACACATAGCTGAGTATGTGGTAAAAGTCCCAGACCAAGTGGCTTGAAAACCATGCTGGGCATGTGAGTGTGTGTGTGTATGTGTGTGTGTAGGAGAGTGGAGAAGGGATTGTAGAATTGGTCATTCCCTAAGGTTGGGGGGACATTCTCACTTACCCTCTCTCTAGTGGGCGTGCAGGTCGTACAGCTAAAATATCTTTAAAAATAAAAGAGGGAACCAGCAGTTAGCGTAATGGCTATGTCACTGGACTCCCATGTAGTTGACCGCGGTTCGCATCCCGGACCTGGTGGCTTAAAACTCACGCCGGGCGCGTGTGTGTGCGTGCCCAAGATCCCGAGAGGAGAATGGAGAAGGGATTGCGGCGTGACCATCCCCCCTAGGGGGTGATTTCTCGCTTTCTATCTCTATGGCTCTCTCTGTCTGTCTGGCAAGTGCACGCGCCCTATAGCGAAAAACCTCTCCAAAAAAATAAATACATAAAATAAAATAGAAGAAAAAAAGGCTCTATTAAATTTCCTGCAGTATTTAGCATTTTAATAAGACATTGTCATTAAATGGGATACACTTGTGTTAATAACCTTTTGAAGCCACATAAATCACAGAATGTGTTGAAGTATAGGCAAAGTATTGAAAATAATATTTATGTTAACCTCAGTATCACAAAGACAAAAAAAAATTGAAAGTAAACAATGGTTCATCTGATTGAAATGTGGTAAAAATGAATAACACTAGCCAAAATGTCAGAATGTCTAGCATCTATAAGTAACCAAACTCTGGGAAAGTCACATCTCAAATTCAATTTACTTCCATTTTTCTTGTAAGGCAGAAATACTTTGGCAAACCCTTCCTGAACTACTAGGAAAGCCTATCAAGACTGAGGGCACATCAGCTTATCTCTAGCTGCCAGATTTGGTGACAGATCAGGTTTAAGAGAGTTCAGACACAGGAAATAATGACGATAAACTGAAAGAATGGAGCATGAAAGATACTCTCAGGATAACAGGTTATAACTCCAACTCAGATCACACTTTAAGCTTTCTCCAATAAGTGACATCATTAGGGCCTTGGCCTTCCCACTTCAGCCAAACAACCTCTCTCTTGTGAAAGTTGGTTCAAACCTCTGAACAATACCCAGTACTTCAGGAGAAGGTAGTATTATCCAAATTTTGTTCACTCTAGGAAGTAATATCAATAATCACTTGAGCTATGGAAAACTGAAATCTTTCCATTCCCAGGCTCTTCTGCCTCTATTCTGAAGCATTAGTACAGTGTCCAGGCCATAGAGGTGTTCTCTCAGGTGAGATCCTTATCTCTACAGTATAACTTTACAGTATAACTTTCTAACTTTGTAATACTTCATTCTAAAGAAAATGGTACCATTCCCCAGTACTTCAAGCTCCCTAACAGAAATCACTGTCGCTGGATTCTGAATTTGAACTTGTGAAAAATTCTTATTTTTTTCTTTAGGTTTTTGCCATAGGGTGAGTGTACTTGCCAGAGAGAGACCAAGAGGGCAAGGAGGGAGTGGGAAATCACCCCCCCAGGGATGATGGCCATGCACAATCCCTTCTGTTCCATTCTCCTCCTGGGATTTTGGGGACATAGGGACATGCACCTAGCATGATCTTTAAGCCACCATGTCTTGGACTGAAGGAAGGGGCAACCCTTCCTTCAGGCAAGTGGGAATCAAAAATCTTAACAAGTACACCACCCTGTGGCCCCTAAAATCCTTTAAATTTACCTAGGAATGGGCCATCCAGTAGCGCTATGGTAAAGGTAGCTGGATCCCATATGGCCAACTGCATGGTTTGATTCCCAGAGCCAGTGGCCTGAAAATTACACCAGAAGTATGTTCAAGTATGTCCAAAATCCCAAGAGGAAAATGGAGAAGGGACTTTGGCATGGCCATCCCCATGGGGAGTGAATTTTCCTTCCTCTCCACCTACCCCACCCATCTCTGTACTTCTCAGGCAAGCACTTGTACACCATAAAACCTTAAAGAAAAAAAAAAAAAAAAAAACACTTGCCTGGGAGTGCTAGACAGGTCAAACAAATGCATGGGAGACTAGAAGCTTCACTCACTTTAAGACCCCAAGGCAGCCCATAAACACAGCTGCCGTAGCAACACTCTTGTCTGCAAAGACTCCACAGTTATTTCTCTGGGAAACTGGAGGCATTTCAGTAGTACTGGAAATAGGTTCGTATTACAGATGGGTAAACTTTATGAGATACAGAGTAGCATCAGTGATAAGAAGTGTTAGGTGTTCAGAAGCAACACCTGGGCAAGTTCTTGTCTGATGGTCAAAAAGAATTAGAAATGCAGACAAACGGAGAGGAGAGCATGCAAAGTGACTAGAAAAGAGTCAAAGTTTCCAGCTGAGCTTCCAGCTAAGCAAATGGGCTTTTTTCTTGTCAGGGCCCATGGGCCCTGACAAAAAAGAAAGGAAAAAAAAAAAAAAAAACTGATTTTTGTCTAAGGAAATGGTGGGGGGGAAAAAGTCTACTTTCTTTAAAGAGCCAGCAGTGCAGGTGTTGTGTCAGCAGGGAGTCTTAAACTAACCACTGTCCTTGAGTTGGACAGTGTGCTCAGGACTACAGTCAGCAATGCTCATAAATTGTTTGAAAGATGAAAGAGTACATTGTTCAAGGTCCTTGCTCTGCTGCTCTCCAGACCAAGGGAGGCCACTCTCTTCATTCGGAATGTAGCAATGACATGAACAATGCTACTTTTAGTCATTATCTCAAGCAGGCTGCGAGCAGCTTTGTGTACAAGTACCAAGAGCTGATACGTGATTTCTGATGAGAGCAGTGAATGATTTTTACGAAAGGCCTGACTATCCTGACTCCATCTGTCTCCTCCCCGCCATTCCGTGGACTCCTCGCCCTATCTACCTAACCAGAGAGCTTACTCCTCTCTCAGGATCCTGTAGCAGAGCTGGAAGCTGAACTCGTCGTGGTCAGACCCGCGGCTCCTCACCAGACCCCGCGCCCAGCTTGGACTGGGTCACCCCCTTTCGGAGCATCTGGAGTCCCCTTTGCACACCTGACTGCACACACCCACCTTCTGACAAAGCAGCTACTGAAAGCAAAGCCCAGGTCACCTCTTTCCTCACCCCGGACCTGCACACCCCGACGCTCCTGTCGCTCTCCCCACCCAGCCCGGACCAGGGGCTGCACCTTCCCTCAGGCGCCTCTCCCCCTCCACCCGACCTCCCCCCACGTTTCTGCTCCCACCAAGGAAGAGGGACACCTCACCCCTACTAGGGTCCTCAAAACCCGCGACCCTCCTCCTCCACACTCAGACTCACCGTCATGGACACCGTGTCCGGCAGAGCACGGTCAGCACAGCAGCAGGTTCTCCCCAGCGACCACGCGGAGGGAACGCAGCGCCACAGGCGGAAGGAGAACCCGGAAAAGCCGCCGTCTTTGGCCTGTGCTGATGACGTCAGCGGGGCGGAGACTACATTTCCCACAAGGCGCTGCGCGCCTCCTTTTGGCACCAAAGTGAAGTTTGGTGTCTTCGCAGTGGAGAGTCCAGAACCCAACAGGAGAGGAACAATCTATCCACGTGACAGGATCCTGGTTCTGTATTAAATCCTGCCTGGACATTACAGGGATAATGGGGAAATTCGTCCGTGGGCCACTTAGTCGATGACCTAGTAAGTAACTTAATATTTTTGTTGCTCTGATGTAGTTATTCCTGTTAGGGAACCAACTCTTTTTTTGTAATGCGATCTGAAGTGTGAAAAATAATGTAAGTTTATTTTTAAAATGATTAATATAGTCCTCTTGCAATGCTTAAAATATGTTTATCCTCACCCACTTAGCTGATTTTTGAATGTTCAATGGGTATTACAGTTGGAAAACTGTTCTAGTGTATATTTTAAATAAGATACCAGGGTCATAGGGTACGTGTACTTTATATTCCAAGTCTATTTACACTTCCACGTGTCTGATGATTATTTTTCCAAAGGCTCCCGTGTTTTTAATCTAACATACCTTTAATTATTTGGGGTGTGTCTGTGTGTGAGATGTACCTGACTTAGCTACTTTTCCTTAATTTCATCCACAAACCAGGCCAGGAGGGATTCATAGACTTTTTTGCTATCATTGAGTTTATTTTCAAACAGAACTCCCCATTTTTTAAAGAATTATTTTAACATTATTTACTATTATTATATATATTTTTTTAATTTTTTTTTGGTGGGGGGGTTGGGAGGAAGGGGTAGTTAGAAAGTAAGTCGCCACATCTGGGACTCAAACCACACTCAGCCATGTGGGAGTCAAGCACCTTTAACCACCGTACCACTTGCTGGCCCCAAAATGCCTATCCTGATTCATCAGGGTTGATACAGACTGCAGTGGTAAAATGAGAAGATGATGTGACAGGACTGTAAACACTGAGAGTGGTCTATGGGGGTTTCAAGAGGCTTGATGTTGTTCAAGACCTGTCCCTGGTTTTTTATTTTACTGTTATATGCCCTGCCTTGTTCAAATTCCTGTATCTTTTCTGATGCTGTAAGTGTCTTTCGGTGACTTTTCTACATACACAAAGAACTTAGTCTTGATCTTCACAGTACACTCTCACCTAGTTTTTAATTCCTGGTCTCCATTTCTCACACTCTTGGATCCCAGGTCTCTCTTAAACACATATTAGTATGATATTGAGGGATTATTTAAATACAGGATGATTGGCAAGGGTTGGGTGGAGCAATCATTCCTTGACATTCTCACCTCTAAAATAGAGATGTTGTTTCTTTTCTTTGTAGGCTTCAGTTTTATGCCTTTTAAAATGGAGACAATAGAGGCTGGCAGGTGGTATGGTGCTTAAGGCACTGGATTCTGACATTGCCAACTGCAGTTCTAGTCAACCTGGTGGCTTGCTTTCTCACTTTCCCCTTCTCCCATGTCTCTCTCTGGTCAAATTAAAAAGTAATAACAAATAAAATACAATAAGTAATATTTTTAAAAAACAAGAAAATAACAATAATACACAGTTGGATCTGTAGACTTCATCTTGGGCTCACCTCTAGTAATAGACCAAGAACCAATCTCTATCCTCTTCCTAGGCTTTCTTTTCCAGAAATATGGAAAGGAGGCTCAGAGATTATTGTGAGGTGTTTACAACATTAGCCATGTATCGTAGTTTTCAGTGTTCTAGTTTATCCTTATTTTGTTAAAATTATTCTTAAGAGAGTAATTGGTCTAAGGGGGCAACACCATGGAGTTAAGTCAGCCAGATCCCACATAGTAGACTGCATGGTTCAAGTCCTGGATCTGGCTAGAGAAACACGTGGGGTGTGTATGCAGGCATAGCCAAAATCTCAAAAGGAGGGAGAAATGGAGGGGAAGAAATTGCAGCATGACGATGGTCCATCTGGGACACTTTCTCACATTCCCATTTCTTTATCTCTTCAGTAAATGCACATGTCTTTTGGCAAAGTGAAAAAAAAAAAAACAGAAAGAAAAGAAATATAAATTGTTTTAGTATATTTGTTTTATATCCTGTTACATTCCTGACATTGTCTATTAGTACTAATAATACAGTTATCTTTATTTGTGGATGGCACAATTTTGTATTTAGAAAGTCAATACTAAGTCATGTCATCCACAAATAAAGGTAACTGGATGTATTCCTTTCTAATATAAATGCCTTTTATTTATTTATGTAGTGACACCTCACAGTTGCAGGCCTTTGAAGTTTCTACTAAGCACATTTTTTTTTCTTTTTTTGGACAGTTTTTGGGATTTGTTTGTTTGTTTGTTTTGCTATAGGACTCTTGTGCTCACCAGAAAGACAGAGAGAGACAGAAAGTGAGAAATCACCCCCCAGGAGGGATGGCCACGCCACAATCCCTTCTCCTCCATTCTCCTCTCGAGACCTTGGGCATGCACGCACACATGCCTGGCGTGAGTTTAAGCTGCTGGGTCCTGGACTCGAACCACAGTTGACTACATGGGAGTCCAGTGACATAGCCATTATGCTAACTGCTGGTCTCAGCACATACTTATTGTAAAGTCCCTGCAGGAGGAAATTGTGCCCTTCTGTGGTGGCAGGGGCCATAGGCATCTTCTCACATTCCCTACTGTGTGCACACAGTCCCAACCATAGCACTTAATCTAACTGGCTGTACACGCTCCAGACACTGTGTCAGTGTGCTGGGCTGCTCGTGGCACCTTGAGACGCACAGATACAGGCACTTTTGAGCGTCAGGGCACAGTCTATTTGGCAAGGAGTCTACATTCAAGGTGGCACCATGCTTTAGCTGACTGGGGCCCAGATGATGAAGGAACCCTGTGCATGTTCTTTCCTTGGAGAAGTGCAGTTTTGTGGGCCTCAGAAATATCATACACTGAGATGAGCAGGGACTGCAGGCTCTCCTACAGCTAGGACTATGGTCCTGGGTGAGAATGGGGGACACCAAGGACCTCTCACTTACTCAGATCCAGCACTGGGGTATCTCTAGCATCTCAAACTAGGCCAGACTACAGAGACAAGAACAATTACCAACTTTCCAATGTACAAACATCAACACATACACAGGCATAAGAATTATCAGGAGAACATAATGTTGCCAATGAACAAAGTGAAGTGCAGGGACTGACACTAAAGGGAAAATGCAGGATCTGCCTGACAGAGATTTTGCAGTCATGGTTTTAAGGAAGCACAACACACTTAAAAGAAAATACACAGAAAGATTTCAACACACTTTTGATGCATATGTGGCAAGGTTCTAGAAGAGCTTTTGGGGTAGGAAATACTACTGTGCGTGTCTTTGGAATAGACAGTCTTCTGAGGTGGCTGTTTTAGTTTTTAGTTTTTGAGTTTTACTTGTAGTCATATCATCATTTAGTCATTTGTTCAACAAGTAATTGTTCAGCAACTCACTGCCTCAGGAATCATTTAAGTACCTGGATACCTATTGGTGAATATAGTAATTTAGACATGGCTGTAGTCCAATAAAGGGGAGACAGTCACCTTAACTATACAGAATACACATAAGCTCTGATTGTGTTAAAATCTATAAAGAAAATGATTGCTTATGAAAGAGAGTAACAGTTAGAAACGACACCAACCACACCCTGAAAAGTCTGAATAATTTACATGGGAAGAGTGACAGCTAACCAGGTTATGAGGGAGGAACAGGATTTGAGGATGATGGAAAAGCTTATGAAAAGAAAACAGTGAGCAAAATTTTGGATCAAATGTAAAAGGGAAGTAAGACCCATCTGCATGAAGTGTAGTAGAGAAGAGGGAGAGGAATGTAGGAAAAGGTTGAAAAGTAAACAGGATCTTAGTGACTTTCTTGGGTTTTACCTCAGAGAAGTGAGGGAGGCTTGAAATGCTTTTAGTAGAAGAAAAATACATTCTAATTCACTTTTTAGAAAAAGGAATTAGGAAAAGCAGGATGGAAAATGTTGAAGATGTTCAGGGAATAGAAAGTGGTGACTTGCAATATGGAGAGACGTGAAATTATGATGATTGAGAATGGATTGGATGTGCAAGTGAGGCTCTGGAATGACCCATTCAGAGATGAGTCAAGTATAGTTCTACAACTTCTGGATTGAGTAGCTGGATGTGGTGATGCCATTTTGGTTACAATATGGGGTACCCACAGACTAAGAGATGCTAACTTTGGGTCAGTCTTGAAGGGTTGTTAATGCTGTACTTGGAGGAAGGCATAAATGTCCTCTGGAAGTCAGCAAGGACCCCATTGATGACTTAGAGGTAATTGTACTCAGGTGGCAGAAGGAGAGAGGAGACAATGACCAGGAAAACAGACAGTTGGAACCAGGGAAGAAATTTTGTCTATAATAGGTTACAGGTTTCAGGATCCTAGGTGTCCTAGAAAGTCAAAATTGATGTGACAAGAACAGGGGCATTAAGTCAGTGGCAGCTGAGGACAGGACACTGGCAAGGGCAGTAGGGGATAAGAACATAGTAGAATCAAGTAATATAAAAATGTTAAGTCTTGGGACCAGCAGTTAGCGTAATGGCTATGTTACAGGACTCTCATGTAATCAACCACAGTTCAAGTCCCAGACCCAGTGACTTAAACTCATGCCAGGCGCGCGTGTGTGCGTGCCCAAGATCCCGAGAGGAGAATGGAGGAGAAGGGATTGCGGCATGACCATCCCCCCTGGGGGGTGATTTCTCGCTTTCTGTCTCTCTGTCTCTGTCTTTCTGGCAAGCACATGCACCCTATAGCAAAAACCTCTTTTAAAAAAAATGTTAAGTCTGATCACCCCTTGCTGCACTTCAGGAAAGTCAAAGGAAGAGAACAAATACAATGCAAGTCAGGTTACAACAGCCATATCAGACAAGATAGTCATATGTCTGCTACCATACACTGGTAATCAGATGCTTCTGGAAACTCCCCAAACTCTAAATCCACTGCCAA